CGACTTGAGCTTCCTCTACTTTGCTATGGGCTGCTAAAATATCAGACACGTAAAATAACCCGTTTATCTAACTATCAGTTTATCTCTTAGAATTGACCATATGTATACACCACTCTTAAGTTCCTTTCATACGGTCTAACAAGCTTTTTACTGAAATAGTCTCGGATATTGAGTTTATGAAGCGGTATAGGCAGCACCTCTTAAATACTTAATAAACAGTTATTCAATTGCAGCTTTGTAATGTATATTTTTTTCTGTAATATATTTTAAAAATATGTATTTTCAATAACGTTCTTTTGTTCTAGCGCATTTAGCTTAACATCGTGGTAACCAGCTCGAAAGCCAATGGATACTCTGATTACCACACACATATCTTTTTAGTCTTTTCCTTATTCGCAAATGTAACAAATATTTCTCTATTTATATTTCTAATACTAACTAATGTAAACTCCGTAAGTAATGCACAATAAAGGAAGTTAAAAGTTGAGTTATCTTCGGATTTGGTTAATTTTCGGCAGATTTATTGAGCAGATGGCGAACAAGGCTGGTATTCCTTCCAGTGTAATGCGGGACGGACTAAGTAATAAAACACTGGAATGGCAGGCGCGTCTGGCCTGGAAATATGCTTGTTCAAGTAAGTTCTTCAATCATATCTTTACCATATACGAGTTAAGCTGGGTCATCTTAAAGCTGGAACACTCTGTAAACTTACTGAACAATCCAATGAGGACAAAACAGAAGGCTGCAGGACTTAGCTATTCTCGTGTACAAGGTTAAGAACAAAATATGCTCCAAGCATATTGCTGACCTGTTTCAAATATCTGAAAAGAAATAAATCACCCCTAGATTTAATACAATAACACATGTGAAGCACTCTATCAGATACACTGGGCCTAAGTCATGGAATCTTATACCAAGGAATATTAGACGTTCATCGACATTGTCATCTTTAAAGAGAAGCATCCGCAAACCTGACTAGGATATTTTGACTGATAGTTGAAGAAGTTATTGCACTTTATGTGATTCTTAATGTCTTTAATGTGCTTTTATCTTATGTATCTTTTGCATTTCTATCTATTTATATTTTTATATTATAAATATCTTTGATTAGCTTATGGATCTTGTTATTTTAATCTTTTAAGGTCATTCCTCACATTTGCATTGCGCATCCTTACTGCGCATAATTTATGGCGTCATTAGCGCGCGCTCGTGCACGCGCATATTGAAAACAT